TATATATATATATATATATATATGTGTGGATCGGGCTGCACGCCGCAACAGTTATTATACAGCGCTGAGTGATTGAGATTGCTGAGCATTGAGCATAGTGAGAGAGGATGCGAGACAGTGAGATTGAGCACTCTGAGAGTGTGAGTACATGATTCATCTCTAAGGTACATGGCATTTGCATGCACGCATGACATACAAGCATAGAGATGCATTTTTCCTCGTGCTATACGGTATCACGACATTCATGATTATTTTTATACACATTGATATGTGGGCATAGAGCGGCATTTTATACTTGTTATCTGGAAATAAAATAAAATATTTTTATTTATTGTGGAGAGGATATTTGAAAAATTACAGTTTTCAAACTTACTCATATTTTTGGAATTTTCGGTAAGAGACTTGGGTTTTTCACTGAGATTCTTGAAAAGCATGACCATTTTCTGGAACTGTGAACGAGCTAAGCATTTTTACTTCTGAGATACCTCTTTTATACTTGTATTTGTGTTGTTATGAACTGTTGAGGGATTTTGGTATTGAACCTGACCTTGTGTTAGCTCGTCACTGCTTTTAACCTATGGGTAGGTGGGTTACTTATTGAGTGCATGAGATCAGTTGTACTCATACTATACTTCTGCACCTTGCGTGCAGATGTTGGCTGTTGTTGTTATTGCGTTCGATGGGAGCTGGATTGAAGATGTACCTGCGTCCCGGCTGTAGCTGCCTCTTGTTCGTGGTAGCTTTAGATCTGTAAAACTCTGTTTATGTACTATTCAAACAGACTATGTATTTATTTTTTTTCGCTTTGTAAACTCTATTCTTAGAAGCTCATGATTTGTACTACCAGTTCTTGGGAATGTATAAGATTAAGATTATTTATTACTTAATTGCTTTATAAATTGTTATTGGAATTCGTTAGTGGTTAATTGACTTACCTAGCGGGTTGGGTTAGGTTCCATCATGACACGTCGGATTTTGGGTCGTGACAACTCACTACCTGGATCTGAGCTATCAAAATACTGGTCATCCCCTCCTAGTTTCCATTCATATTTTTTCCTTTTGTTTTTATGCATATCTTCAAAACCAGAATCTATACCAACTGGACCAGATGATATTTCATCTATATTTACTTGGGCATCCTTCTTTTTGTTGATTTTAGACTGTTTAATTTCAGCTAAATCATCTTCCAAATCACTACACTCTTTAATGTTCTCATCTATCTCAAACAGTGAGTCAGACCCTTCAGAATCATCAAAGTCCTCATCAAAATCAGATTCTGATGTTTGAAGGTGATATGATGAGAAGTTATTACCTTCACCTTCATTTGATTTTTTTTTATCTCTCCATTTATACTGTCCCTTTACCCTTATCTTTGTCATTTTCAGTCCTATTTATATCATTGTTGGGAGGTGACACATCAATCCTAGCATTTAACCCATTGTCATTCCCATGTGTTTGTATAGTGGGGTCTAGTTCTGTTATGTCCTCAACAAGAATAGGATCACTAATTTTATGGATAATATAAACATCAACAAAGTCGCCACCTTTTAATGTATTAAGAAACTTTAACACATCAACATCTGTTTTTAAAATGTAATAACCACCCCTTTTGTTAACTTTGCATCCAAACAAATTAACTTCTAAAAATTCTAAGTCCCTAGCAAACTTGTGAAACAACATAATATGCAGCTCATCAACATCAACGGTAGCTAACTAAGGACAAGGTAGTCCATTTGCATAGGGTCAGGGTCTGATACAAAATTACCACTGTGGTGGATTTGTAGGTTAACTAGGCTTGAAGCCATTTTCTTCTCATACCTGCAAAGTAACAAAAAAACAGTATTATCAATGACTATTTGTTATCAAAAGTTGTACCTTTACACAACTCCATAAACAAACCAACAAAAAAGACAGATTTTTAAAGTAAAAAAGCTTCTAAGATTCCTTTTTCGTCCCCACAATACCCTATAATATTCAAAAATACTCTGGTGGATCACTAACAAGAAGGAGACCCAACAAACTTCACAAAAAAAATGCATAAACCTAAGATGAAATTCTGCTTTGACAAAAAAAATCAAAAACTAAACGGAATAACCAAATATGCCATTACATGCTTGACACTACATTAAATAGGGTTTTTACTCCAACATGTAACGAAACACAGCAAAAGCCCCATATATTGAGGAAAATTAAACAACAATTATGACCTAACCCAGCCTTCCCCTAAAAACCCTAAACAGAGCAAAAGCCCTATATATTGAGAGAAATAAAGATCAATAAAGACAAAATATGAACAACAGGTGAAGAAACTTACCCCACAAACTTCGATATCAACTGCGATGATGAAAATCCCGGCAACGATGACAGAGAAGAGAGGAAAGACTCACTGTTGTTTGATACTTTCTAAGCCCTAACTACGCGTGTAATTGTAAAATAAGGGAAAAATCTAGGTTTGTGGGGGGGAGGGGGGGGGGGTAAATAATCCGTTCCCGCTTTATTTTCCTATGTGGCCATAATAAGTGACTTGGAGCCTATATGGTCTAATTTTATTGACGTGGCGTCCAACGTGTAGGCGTTTGTATTACACGCACTAACAGCCTCCTGTCATAAGCGTTTATTATTCACGATTTGAATGAGTGTAAGTGTTCAATTGACAAACTTCTAAGTTTGGGGACCGGCATGACAAAGTGGCACAAGTACAAGTGCCATTTAGGCCATTCTGCCAAATCTATAAACAAACATGTTTTGCCAATTTTCTTTTGGAAAAAACTTGACAAAATCTATGGCCGGGGCTAAATGAATCTTAGAGACAAATGCAATTACTTTTGTTAATGCTACATGATTAGGCATTGTTTCTGAGAATGTGTGTGCGTTTTTATTTAGTTTTTTTTTCTTCAAAATTTTCAATTATAAATACGGTTTTGGGTATCCGGCTAATATGCAGAGATTATTTGCAGAGATTATCAGGCGATAATTAGTATTACATAAATTATTACGTTTTGAATATGTAGAAATTACTTATTCGAGGACATTTTTGCCTTTGCACACTCTTATCCAGCTATTATTAGTATACATATTCTTATTTCATATTCGATCTGACATTATAATAAAAGTATAAAAATTCTGGTTTTGTAATAGTGATAAGTCTAATGTCTCATTTGGTCGTACATAATACAATTGACTGCATACACTCACGTGGGTCAGTCGCTCTATACTGTCTAAATTTTGGCGTTAACAAGTCCCTTACATTTTCTCCAACATTGAAAAGCTTTGTTCGATTCAACCAAGTTATAAGGCTTGTACACATGGTGTATTTGCTAAGCTACCGTCCAAAGGACGAAGTGAGACCTTAACTAATTTGAATTTGTGCCGCATTAGATCCATTAAAGAACGAATCGTTAAATTCTTTTTATTCCGGAGACTTGAACTCAAGACCTCTGATTAAAGGTGGAGGAATTCTATCCACAATCCTCAATAATAAATATAATTTCCTCAATGTACTTTGACAGTAACTTCTTTCGTTGTACCTCCAAATATTAAATTCTTACATTTTGGACTTCCAATCAACCCTTACACGATAAATTTCAAACTTCTTAACAAGCTAATGAATTAGAAGGATTATCAAAACTCAAACATATACAAAGTTGGGTCTTGATCTTATTTATGTAGTCTAATTAAAATAACTAAACATACATTTTTTCTAGTAAATATTGAAATCATAAAATAGTTAAACATGGTGTTTTTCTAATAACAATTGAATGTGCTTACATATAAATTACATAGAGTGTTTGGGAGAATTGGGGAGGAGAGATGCATATAGAATTTGATTCCAAGTATCAGGAACTCCACCAATGCACCAATGTGTACAATCAAATCCATGTAAACCATTGTATATACTGGGATGCCCATCTTTTCTTAGCTGTGTAAGTTTAGTTATATCAAGTAAATATACTGGCTTTGACATCTTCCTTAGAACTTGTTTCACTATATTTACAGGAATTGGTAAGCCACTTGGATATGTTGATCCTTTTACTGGTGTTGTTTCGTTGAAACAATTCTTCACTTTTGGCTCACCCCATTCAGATCCACTGAAAAAATTGAAAAAAGAATTTTAAAAAGGGCAAAATAGAAGGATATGATTATGTATAAGATTAGACATCACTTGGAAGAAATTAGCATTTCTAAAGGTACTATACACTTTCATGCAAATTTATTGGGTTGAAGTGTTATCTACAAGAACTTTTGTTCACGCGTAAATGATATTTCAACAAAATGGGAAAAGAGTAAAATGAAAAATCCTCTACTATATATATATAAAAATATCTTAATTTTACTCTCCATTATATTTTGGATCATTATTCGAATGGATAGAACGGATGGTCCAACTAAATAATTTTTTCTTTTTCATTACTTCTATGATCGTGTCTCGTGGTGCAGCAGCACCCATGATCATACTATTGAAATGATTCGTGGGTACAGATATTCACACGATTTCCCTTTTGTTATAGGAGGGAAAAAGAAATTCTAAAGGCATAAATTTGTATCTTTTTCCAAAATATTTTGACAGGTGAAATTTACCCACTTCTTATTGTAGCTTCGTTAAAACATTAGCATTTCGAGAAGATGTTTATTTTCAGACTCCGGCTTGATAACATGTTAATTAGATAAAGGAGAAAAAGGATAGCCCATTATGCCCTATATATTTTTTCAATAATTGTTTGTTTTAGTCAAATATTAGTCCTGAAATCTGCAAAAAGGACATTGTGAAGCAGAAAAGCAATAAGGAAAATAAAAAGATGAAAACGTTCTTACTGGTAATGCATGGCAGCTACTCCTTGGAAAAAAACTTTGGTTTTCTTTGTATCAACATCTGTATCAACCCATTTAGCCCATGTATTTAGACCTACACGAAAAGCTGCAACTCGGTCCATGTCTTTCGATATCCTCCCATTATTTTCAACAAAATCCCATCTACAAAACATTGAACAATATATCAACTATAAAGAACTAGATTTATCTTAAAATCATAAAGAGAAGTTAATCTCATGTATAAAATCACCTCAATTGTATGTTTTGTTGTTAAAGTGAGTAAAGTTTAGTGATGTTACTGCTCATCAGTAACAAAAAACGTATCACTAAAGTTAAATACTTTTATATTTTTTGGTTTATAGTTTATAAAGTTCAATGATCATAGGTAAAATTAATTATAAATTCTTACGCGGAAACAACTGAATTAAGAAAACATATGCTTATATGTTTAGGTACATACGGTTGTTTAGAATCGGATCGTGGATACCAAAGCCAAGTATTGAAGATCAAGACGTCAGCATTTTTCCAAATTCGTCCATATTTCATTGAATTGAGTTTTAATACTCGTCCAACATTGGGTTGCACTTCAATATCTACCAAGTAATTTGAATGAAATAGTATGACTTCAACTCCATAATCCTGTAATTTTCATACAATTAACGTCCACATTCCTATATATCTATCAACATATATTTTAAGATTATGAATCTTTATGAGAAAAAAGAAATATTACTCACCTCAAATGTGACGGTAACAGTTTGTTTTTTAATCTCTTGCTTGAATTTGGAGTTCGGGACTGCAGCATGAAGCAAGCACAGAAGTGATTCAAAGTTGTTTAGACTTAAAGAATCCCCGATATACATTATCTTCTTTCCTCTGAATCTTCTCAAGAAGTTTTTACCATCAAATCTGCAACATTGTAAATAATATGAATGTGATATGTAAAGCATTGGTAAAATAGCATTTTATATTACTCATATAGTATATTTTTTGTATAATATGTCGGCTTTTTTACTAAGTGTAAAATGATTTCAATGAACATTGTTTTTCTGGAAAATATGGCAATGCGTTATTCATCAACTTACATTTTTGTCTATCAACTTACACAATGTTCTTGCTAATTGATTCATCAATCTTACATTTTTTTCTCTGTTAGGAATTGATCAGTAGTAACGTGTTAATATAAAGGTCATAACCTTGATATTTATAAATACGTTGGTGATTGTGTATGGTGGAGGTGGTTAATGTTGGTGGTGGTTGATGGTGATCGGCTAGTGGCAGATGGTGGAGGTGGTCGGTGATGACGGTTGTGGTTATGTGGTGGAGACTAGTGGTAAAGGTGGTTGGTTGTGGTGGCGAATGATTGGTAGTGATAATAAATATAGTAGTGGTAAATAGTTAGAGTATATTCAAATGAATTTTTAAGTAAACGTCTTAATGATTATAAGATTCTGTACAAAATTTGAATGATCATACCAATTAAGAGCTAGGAGTAATAAATAATTGTGAAAGAAAAAAACAAAATGCACTTAGTAGATTGAAATTAAAATGATTTAGAGTTTAAGACCTCTATTAAATGCAAACAAATATGGCATTGACATAAGAATAGGAGCACAAGAAATTAAGAGAAAGATAGTAACCTGGGCAAGACACAGCCCTTGGGCTGCCATCTATATTTAAGGTATTCAAGATTAGGTTTGCCAAATTTGATGCAGTCAAATTCCTTCCTTATGAATGGACAAGCTGTTGAATTATACAAAGGATAGGAATTATCAAATATCCAACTTCCTTCAAATAAATCACAACTCTTCTTTTTTGTACTGTTGGTGACTACTTCAGCATTTGCTTCTAATAAACAAAAGCTTGCTATTATACCCACAAAAATAGGAACAAACCCAAATCTCTCAACTACTTTTCCCATTTGAAATTTACAGATGGAGAGGTTTTTGAAGTTATTCTGGCTGCTATATATACGCGAACGTAGTGATATTGCATATATTGAAAGTAGAAAATTATCGGATAATATTTCCATAGATTTAAAAATTAAACTAGTAATATCTTCTAAGACGTGAGATATACATTTTCAAATTTTAGGATTAGAATTTTTAAATCATGGAAAAGTCTCCCGTTCTTAGTTGGATGTCTTGCTTTAAGTTCGAATTAATTAAATACTGCCCCAAACAATTATGCTTCAAATTTTATAGTTTATACAATTTTGGGCAATTAGATGAAGCTACGTACATGAGTTAGCTACATGATTTTGCCAATTTCACATGGTAAGCACCTCACTTAGAGAAATCATACACTTCTCTATTCTCAAGATATTACTATATTGTTCCTCGTTCTTGCATGTTTGGGTACATAATTAATGTATTGTTGCTTATTCTTGCATGATGTAGATTTTGACGTAAAATGGCATAATAGAAAGTCAAATCATCTAATAATGTACTAACAATTGATGGACGGTGTGTACGGGTAAAATCGGGGGCAATGTCTACCCCGATTCCCTGATGAAAGAATGAAGGGGGAGTACATATCCGCGAGATTGTAATCTGTAACGACTCGGTCGGTCGTTTTGAGTATTTTAGCCCCGATCCCCTAATTATTGCCCCCTCTATGTTGTATTATAGTTATGTGATTTGCCGGGGGTATTTGGTTGTGGTTTTGGGTGAGTTTCGGAGTGAAATGGGACACATAGTCTCTAAGTTGGAGCTTTAAGTTGAAAGAGTTGATCGTAGTTTGACTTTTGTGTAGACGACCCCGAAATAAAGTTTTGATGGTTCCAATAACTCCATACGGTGAGTTTAGACTTAGGAGCGTGTCCGAATGTTGATTTGGAGGTCTGCAGGTCGTTTTGGCCTAAATTGGCGAAAGTTAGAAAGTTGAAGATTTGGAAGATTGGAAAGTTTGACCGGGAGTTGACTTTATTGACATCAGGGTCGAATTTAGATTCCGAAAGTTGGAATAGGTCCGTCATGTCGTTTATGACTTGTGTGCAAAATTTGAAGTCCATCAGAATCGTTTTGGTATGAATCAGTATTAGTTTTTTAAAATTCGGAAGTTCATAGTTTCATAAGCTTGAATTGGGTTGCGATTCGTAGAATCGATGTTGTTTGATGTAATTTTTGACCTCGAGTAGGTCCGTTATGTGCTTTGAAACTTGTTGTTATATTCGGACGGGGTTCCATGGGCCCCGAGTGTGATTCGGATTGAATCCGGAACAAATTTTGGCTTGATCATGTTGCTGAAGTCCTAGACCTGCTGGTGTCATCGCACCTGCGGAGGGATTGACCATAGGTGCGAACTCGCGGGTGCGGAAGGTGAAGCGCAGAAGCAAAAAGGAGAATCCAGGGCTAGGCTCGCAGGTGCAGACACCTGGACACAGGTGCGCCTCCGCAGGCGCGGACATTTCTTCCGTAGAAGCGAAATTTGGAAAAGGCCATTGGGCGGGACGGCAGGTGCGGTTGCTTTTTCGTAGAAGCGAAACCTCAGCATTTAAGTGGGAACCGAACCTACGATAGTTTTTTCTGCAGGTGCGACCCCAAGCCCGCAGAAGCGAGGATCGCTGGCAGAAAAGGGGTCTTCGAGGGTTTGAGTTTCATAACCCATTTTTGGACCTAGAGAGCTCGGTTTGTGGCGATATTTTGGGAGTTTTGTAAAGAAATTATTGGGATAAGAAATCCCAACTCGGTTTTGGTTAAATTATATGAATTTATTATTAATTTCATCATTTAATTAATGATTTGAGTTGAAAAATTGAGAAAAAATTGTGAAAACTTCTTAGGCTAAAATTTGGGGATTTGAAAGATGATTTGAGGTCGGATTTGAGTAATTCTTATATGGTTGGACTCATTATCGAATGTGTGTTCGGATTTTATAATTTTGATCGGGTTCCGAGACGCGGGATCGAGTTGACTTTTTGGGTTGACTTTTTATTTTTTTGCAAAGATCATAATTTTATTGTTCGAAATAGTTTTCTATAGTTTATATTTATAGTATGAAGTTATTTTGGCTAGATTCGAGCCGTTTGGAGTTGGATAATCGAGGGAAAGGCCAACTAGTGGATTGAGTTAGTGTGGTTCGAGATAAGTGTCTTGCCTAACTTTGTGTGGGGGAATTACCCCTTAGGATTGGTGTTATTTGTGATAACTGTGATGTGTGAAAGCCGTGTACGCAAGGTGACGAGTGTGTGCACGGGTTAAATATGGAAATTTACCGATTTTAACTACGTAGATTCCTGTCATGCCTTAATTGAGTTACCTTAACATGTTATAGTCATCATTTCTAGTCTATCTTCACACGCTCTACTTGTCTTATCTCTTACTTGTTAATTGCCTTACATGTTTAGTTGAAGTTGTTGTTGTTTCCTCTATTCCGCATTCATTATTTAACTGTGAATTCTTTACTTGAAGTTGTTATTCTTGGAATATCTTGTTGATGAAATCGGTATTGAGTTATAAAAGCCGTGATTCACATTGAGGCAAAGTGTTAAGTTGTGAAATACTATTCTGTTGAGTTATTCACTTTCGGATGTTATTGTTGAGACTCTTGTGTACATTGTGGTTGAGCCATGGGCTCTTTACTGTGAAAATATTATTATTGTTGATTTCTTTGGCAAGTTGTGATATTGGGCACTTGAGGTGCAATTTGTGATATGTTGTGATATTGATACGCATGCGGTGGTATAAGATTTTGGGGTTGAGACGTATGCTGTGAGATAAGGTTGGGTTGATACACGTGGCTAGTAGGGGAACTACTAGAAGCCACACGGTGTGATAATGTGGGCTAAAACGTGGGATGCTATTTCAGAAAAATTATTTTCAAAACTAAATGCAAGGCTCCCGCATTAATATAAGAAAAGATTGTGAATTATTCTTGTGATTTGAGACTACGAGGCGGTACCTCGGTAGTGACTCTTGTTAGTATTTCTCTATTATTTCACTTGTCTTTGGTTGTTTTGTTTTCTTAGCATATTATTCCTTGTTTTCTCCGTGTTGCATTATTTGCTTTAGTTCCGTGTAGCTAACCTTGATATGTTATTTGTTGTTTCAATTTCATTGCTTTCATTACTACATTGTCATTCACTTGTAATGTTTTTCTTATTTATTCCAGTAGGGCCTTGACCTGACCTCGTTACTACTCTATCGAGGTTAGGCTTGACAGTTACTGGGTACCGTTATGGTGTACCCATGCTACGCTTATGCACATCTTTTTATGCAGATCCTAGTACCTCCTACTAGCCTAGGTATTAGCGAGAGCTTAGCTTCGGAGACTTCATGGTATACCTGTCGGCGTCCGCATACCTCAGAGTCCCCTTCTACCTAGACTATTCTATTTTCCTTATTCATTAATATACATTGATGTATAGGATTATTCAGTATTACTATTTAGATCTTGTGACTTGTATTCGCCGAGTTTTTGGGAAATTGTATACACTGAGTTGCAAAGTTTTTTTATGTTAAATTGTTGAGTATTTGGGAGTTATTTGTCATTTCAGTTATATTCCGCATGTTTTGTTAGGCTTACCTAGTCTTAGAGACTAGGTGTCATCACGACATCCTATCGAGGGAAATTGGGGTCATGACAAGTTGGTATCAGAACTCTAGGTTCATAGGACTTATGAGTCACAAACAAGTTTAGTAGAGTCCCACGGATCGGTACGGAGACATCTGTACTTATCTTCGGGAGGCTATGGAGCTGTTGGGAAAAGCTTCACTTCTTTGATTCCTTATCGTGCGAATTTGTTGACTTCAAAATTCTAAATCTTTGTCTTTCTATTCTCTCTCAGATGGTGAGGACACGCACAGCTGGATCTGATGACCAGACACCCGCTGCCCCAGCTAGAGCCGCGAAAGGTTAGGGTTAGGGTAGAGGCCGAGGACGGGCATGTGGTGCAGCCAAAGCACTTGCCCGAGCTGCTACATAGGAGCCACTAGTAGCTCCAATTGGAGTGCAGGCACCTGAGATGCATGTTACTACCCCCGGACTTCAGGAGACTCTTGCCCAGTTTTTGAGCATGTTTGGCACTCTAGCTCGGGCAGGGTCAATTCCACTTTCTCCTGCCACATCTCAGGTCGGGGAAGGAGCACAGATTCCCGCCGCCCGTACCCCAGAGCAGCGGGTCCAGGTTGACCAGATCCCAGAGGTCATACCAGTGCAGCCGGTTGTCCCAGTTCAACTCGAGGTTAGGGCAGTAGCTTTTGAGGGGGAGCAGCTCAGGCTCGAGAAGTATAAGAAGTACCACTCTCCTACTTTCAGCGGTTTGGCTTCAGAGGACGCACATAGTCTTCTTGAGGAGTGCCATTATATCCTCCATACTATGAGTATTATGGATTCTAGTAGGGTTGCTTTCACTACGTTCCAGCTTAAGGGAGCGACTTATCAGTGGTGGCGAGCGTATGAGTTAGGTAGCCCGGTCGAGACAGCCTCACTCACCTAGGCTCAATTCTCAGAGATGTTCATGAGGGTAGCCCCAGGGTGCTATAACCATATCAGAGTATGCTGTCAGGTTCAGCGAGTTGTCCCGACATGCACCAGCTTTAGTCTCCATAGTCAGAGAGCGAGTTTGTCGATTTATCGAGGGGCTCAACCACAATATTAGATTCACCATGGCTTGAGAGTTAGAGATTGACATCCTATACCAGCAGGTAGTGTAGATCGCTAGGAGATTGGAGGGTATGTGGGCCCGGGAGAGAGAGGAGGTGGAGGCCAAGAGACCTCGAGATTCTGGCACATATAGTGGTGCCCATGCCCCAGTTGTAGCCTGTCATGGTAGAGGCTATGTGACCGTCCTGTTCATTCAGCACTTCTAGCTTCCAGCAGTATTCCGGCTACTCCCAGGCCTCAGGATGGCCATTATGCACCGCCACTGTCTAGTGCACCTCCTGCACGGGGTGCTTTCAGTGGTCAGTCCAGCCGACC